CCCCCCCCCCCCCCCCCCCATAAAAAAATAAAAAATAAAAAAGGTCACCTTTAACTGAACAAATTGACAAAATGTTCCTAATATGTGTATATATGCAAGCTTCATATGGTGTTGCCACTAATGACCCATGGGAATCTAGGAAGGTCAAACCTTGGTCCACTTTTTATTTAAGGAAATAATTCAGAATGCTGAGGATGCTGGGGCCACAGTGGTGAAGTTTCTGTATGATGACTGCTGCCATCTGGTGGATGGTGATGACACTGGGGGATTTAGCCATCCTGGTCTCAAGGAATTTCAGGTATAAAGATGGAGTGTTTTTTTAATCATATTTTTATTCTACAATTGTAACTTATCTTCGTAATGTGAAAGTTGAGTGCATGCCCAGACTATATACAAAAGGCCAAAAAAATCTGTCAGTCATTCGTTCTGACCGGCTTGAAAATTCTGTCAGACCGAAACAAAATCTGTCAGACCGAAGTAAAATAACAGAAATACGACAAATTATTTATGTTTATAGGTGTATTTTTTATCATTTTTATATATTGTGAAAAAATAAGATAAAAAAGGGAAAAAAATTAGACAAAAAATTATTTGCATAACAAGTTCTTTTTTATCTAATGAAAAAGGCGTTGTAAAATGACTAAAAATAATACAAGTATGAAGAATGTGTAGCCAGTATTATCAAACATATGTCCATAAAAACTCTGTTAATCTGATAACCATTTCACCCGTTGTTTTTGGCAATAACATGCATTGTGAAACAACAAAGTAAGGCGGTCTCTTTCATCAAATTGAAGGTTTGGTAGGGACTGTTCAGCCTGAGTCTAAATTCCTTCTTCATTGTATTTCTTTTTGATAAAAAGAAACTCAAACTGCGAGCCTTCATCAAGTTCACGTGTACTTTCTCCAATTGTGGTCACGAACGGTAGGCCTACACGTACATACGTGTTCCATAATTTTCAGAATCCGTAATAAGGCTGTAAGATTTATGTTGCTGTTGATCATAATGATACGGTAATATGCCAAACAATTTGACCAAGATTAATTAATTAATTTCATGGAAATGTCGTTTTGGTCAAATTGATTAAAATATGGCAATGGAAACCTTTGGTATCGTCGGATTGTTAGTGGCATCTGCCAAAACGTCCATCTTACCGGAAGTATTGCATTTTACCAGAAGTGTTAGGCAAGATAAGCTGCAATTTTCACCTAACACGCATTTTAAGCACGTTTTATACTCCATTTGATATCTTATTTTGCTGTGTACAATATGTACAATCTTTAGTTGAGATTCAAACAGATGACATAATTTCTATCTATTTATTTCAATCACCTACGATCATTTTCATGACGCACTTCACGTCAAGTCGGACAAGTTTTTCCCCAGAGACAGGTGTTGTAAACAATGCCCGGTCACTGAAACCGGTAGCTTTAGTGGCCTCAAACCAGTTATGTCCTATTTGAATTTTAATATGTCAACTAAAATCAACCTAATTGAGATATTTTTACCAGTCTGAGATCAGGCGTAGAGGCGTAGATCGATGTACGTATTTCCGAAGAAAATTAAATCGCCCTTATCAAAGAATACCAACTGGTACTCGAACTGAATTCAGTGTAACTTTAAATTACTTTTAAGTATTTTATTTAAAAATCATGTCATATTAAAACATATTGAGAAAAGGCAATCTGCGGAGCCTACCTGTGCCGATATACATACAGGGTATCTTGTTGGCACTCTTCTGATTTTCTTACATACTTACACTCACTGTGCACAATGCATGGTGCATATTAATAACCCCACTGAAACAACCCCAATTAAAATAAGCATTTAATAGCCATAATTTAAAAAAAACAGATGCTTTTATAATTTTACGTTAGAATTGAGCAAGCGTAGAAATGAGAGACTGGTCTTATCTAGTCTACTCCAGCATACCTAGCGCAAACCCCATGTTAATGAAGACAACCCCATTGTGGTGTAGGGGGTAACGGAATGGAGTTCTTCGCAGATTACGCTAAATAATATCAAAGTTCCGTGCATCTTATCTAGGGGAAATAAAAAGTGACTCACAGGTAACGTAAATACCAGTGGGACTATGTGTGAAGCTCCGCTTGTCACCGTCAAATAAGTCACTGTATTTTCTTACAAGGAGATAAGGAAGACGCCATTTTTATTATTGATAAATCAGTTATCCATGTAGGTGAATAGCTAAACGGTCAGATTTTGACAGCGCATGGTATTTGGCGCCAAGAAGTCTAGGCGGCTGATCCCACTGATCTTTTGATTGATTGTAGGAGATATAGGATCTTGCGGTATTGACTTCAAGAATGTTTCCCCATCTGCATATATATTTTAATCCAACTTGAAAATACTTGCTTATTTTTCCCAAACTTTTTTATTGCTAGCAAATGCTATATATGGTCTATATAAAGGTGTTTACGACATATCTTACCCACTGTCGATACTTGGTTTCATCCAGAACAGACCTTTTTTAACTCTTCAAAATGCTCCCCCCCCCCCCCCCAAGTTAAGGGCGTGACAAATCAGTCAGCGAGGGAAAGTCTGCTAAATGACCACAAATTATATGTCTATAAGCACTATTATTGTTATAGGGGACAAAGGAAAGGACAGGTTTGTCTCGCTTCCAGATTAGATCTTCAATTAATTGTTTCTTCCTCATTGACAAGAGCTATTGAAAGGACAACAATTAACAAAGGGCCGAGGAATGTAGCATCTATTTCAATGGCTTAAAAATTTATCGAGCCTTGCCGACGATGTGGTCGAACAATCAGAACAAGAAAAAAATTCTGTCGCATGATTTTAACGTTTGGACTAAATGTTTGAGCCCAGAAAAATTAATTTTATAATATAATTTTTCTGGTCAGATTGATTGGACCGGTCGAAATACTTGGCAAATTACCGTAACTTTAATACTCCTGACACTCAGTACACACCATTTTCTTCTCCTACAGATTATACGTCTGCAAAGGCCTACGTTCTTTCCAATTTTAGTAAACTTCCAATCAATCCGTTTCTCTTCTGCAGTTCGTTTTAATTTTTGCCACACTGTGCACCAACAGAGTATTTTTAGTTCAACAACATCATTTTTCTAAACAAAAAGCTTAGCCATGAGTACTGTGCACAACTGATACTGAAGAAATAGAGCATGCACACATGTGTTGCGGCCATTTTGTCATGTAAGGGTATCACGAAAACGAGACTGTCAGTTACGTCATCCAGGAATCCCCCAACCTCAGCCAGCCATAAAATAGTATTTGAGAGTGAAACTGAGGTTAATAAATTATGTATAATTAGCTGGGAACTCCCTGGGATTTTCATGCCATCTCTCTTTTCGAATGAAGTAAAATATATCGCTCAGAAAAGAAACAACAACGTATTCCTTATATTATCACAATCCCAGTCAGTTTGAAAACTTGCCAGACATAAGGTCTGACGATACAGGATTTTTTATCGGACCAAGACAAAATTTGCCAGGCATGTCCGACGGTCTGATGCCTTTCGTAAAGTCTGCATGCCACAGGACTAAATTACCAGAATATGAATGAAGGGGCTAGAATAAACTTGGGAAAATTGCCATGATTCTGGTAGCCAAAAGCAGGGCATATGTTTTAACTTGTTTTGAAGCATGTTTTGGTAAATGCAAAAACTCAAGTGTCACATCTTCAAGCAACCAATCTAAGAGAACACATTGATTTAAATATATGGTACAGGGCTCTTCCCATATTTGGGGTTTCGGGCCATCCAAAATTACAATTTGTAATTTCCTCCAAAATTTCAGGGAGTCCCAACTTTTCCAAATGGCATGAGAAGAGGTGGGGGAGGGGGTTAAAAATGATCAATTAAATTAAAAGAATATAAAAAGTAAATATAAAAAGTAAAGCAAAAATAAAGGAACTTTGGAGAAAGAAACTAGGCCCATTGTATTGATTTCTGACTTCACATTGATACTTAATTTCAACATTTCTTGATGACTCCAACAAGTCCCCTCCCTTTCAACACTTCAACACAACACAGTAATAAACCATGGTTGCCAGACATTTTCTGCCTCTTTATTTTGGTGTTTGCATTATAAATTAAGTACATATGTGTGGCATATAAATCTGCCACATTATGGCTATTAATTCTTACTTTTTTGTCTGTTTGTACTTTAAGAATTGTGTCATTTCAGGGCCCCTCATTATTTGCATACAATAATGCAGCTTTCACCAAAGAAGACTGGAAAGGCATACGTATGATAGATGACAGTATAAAGGAGGATGATGCTTTGAAAGTGGGGAGGTTTGGCCTGGGTTTCAAGTCTGTTTTTCATATTACAGGTAATGGTTCTGTTACTAAAAATGCTTACTCTTTCAAAGTCCAGTTGTTATATGTTTTAAATATCAATCAAATTCTTATTCCTTAACAATGATACCAGTATTTAAAACCTTATCAATTTGGCTTTGTTAGGGGTTGCTGTGTGTTAAAACTAGATGCTAGGGGAATGTGAACCATCAAAAATGAAATATGACACTGCTTTTATAACAAGAAAAAATGGTTCCTTTTTATGTTCAGACACATCTTTTGTACATATATGACTGGGCGGGGGGGGGGGGGGGTAGTGAATTCTTGGCTTAGAGATGAAAAAGGACAGTCTCAAAATGTGTGCCCTTCATTTTGATCAGACTCCCTAGACAGAAATGGTGTTTTTGAATATGTGAGCCTGCCTCCAATTTAAATGATTATGATCTTTAACTATAAGTTTAACAGACAGAAGTTCACAAAGAAAAAATCCTTTTTTCTTTCAGATCTCCCCTGTGTGATAAGTGGCCAGTACATGGCTATGATTGATCCCTACAGAGAATATTTCAAACCAAAGGCTGCTGAAAGATGGCGTCTTAAAGATATAGCGACATTTCACCAACAGTACAAACCATTCCTTGGTGTATTTGACTGTTCTGCTGAAACATTTCAAGAGAACCCCTATAATGGTACCTTGTTCCGTTTCCCTCTTCGTAATGCTGGTCATGTTCAACATCGTCATGCTCAACCCATATCAAGCAATATATATGACAGGGACAGTATCGAAGAACTATTTGAAGCCTTCCAAGAGGAGGCACTCCTGGTGTTACTTTTCCTTAGGTCTGTTGAAAAGATTGAGATGTACAGACGAGATCATGAGGAAACCAAGTTGCTATTTGCTGTAGAAATAAGTAACATTGAAGATGTCAAGAATAAGAGGCAACAATTCAATAGCAAGTTACCAGATCATTTGAAAAGATTACGAGTCAGCAATAAAGAACTTAATTCTTTGCAAGAGACCTATCCAATAATCCTGAAGTCTGAAAACCATCAAAATAAACAGAAAGATGAACAGACCTATTTAGTCACCACTTTTTGTAGTGGTACCATTAAGTCTCAGGAATTTGTGAAAAAACCAGACTGTGTGAAGAACATCCCATTGGTGGGTATTGCAATGCCTTTAACGTTGAACAATCCCCAAGAGGGGGTGCTAGTTTCAGATTCTGATCATAAGACCAGTGATGAGAATTTAACTGCTAGAGAAGATTCACCAAATTGCCCAGATCCAGTAAGAATATTTCACAGTCAAGCAACAAGTCATTGCACATTGCCACACGAAAATGCATCAAGTGTCGAGAAGAAAACATCTGGTCATGTGTTTTGTTCACTTCCATTACCTCTGGCTGATAGTCGAGGCACAGGTCTCCCAGTTCATGTGAATGGCTTCTTTGAACTCACCCCAGAGAGAAGTGACTTACAGTGGCCCACCACAGATGACAAGCACACACAGGACAAGTCCAAGGCTTGGAACCAGCACTTGCTGGTGGACGTTCTTCCCTGTGCATATCAGGAGCTTCTTTTTCAAGCTACAATGGATCAAGGTATCTCTATCTCTCCCGAGCAGGTTATTGGCTGCTTCCCAGATGAGGAAAAGGTGGATGAAAAGTGGAAGAAGATAATGCCTAGAGTCTATGCACAGCTCTTTCAGTGTAATATGTTTTACACTAAGGCCTATGATGGCATGTGGAAATCTCTTGATGATGCTGTGATTGTTGATTTTCCAGACAATCCATCCCTGTGTGAGGCAGTATATGAAATCATGCTGTTAACAGGGCACTGTCCTCTCAAACTTCCATCATTTGTGCTTGATGCAATCCAGAACTTTTGTCCTAAAAAGGACAGATTGAATTTTGTCTCAAAAGATATCAACCACCAGCTTGTGAAAGATTCTTTGACTAGTCACGATGGTTATTGCAAGTTCCCCAACACTCAGAAGTTTGAACTGCTGAGGTATCTACTTGATAAACTGCCAGTTGTGAAACTCCAAGGTTTGAAACTTTTGCCTTTGGCTGATGGTACATTTACAACATTCTCTTCAATACATAGATCTCAACCTGTATACATTGCTGCAAATGACATGATACAACTATTTGCTGGACTTGAAAAAAGGTTCCTGCATTCCAGTGATGAAGTTGTAAAAGAAAAATTGACAAGATCAGCCAAATCAGGTAAGCTGTAGAGGCACATGAAGAGTAAATGTTTGTGGTTCAATTTCATACAAAAACATCTACAATTCATTTCACAAAATGCATGTTGTGTATGATATGTAGTTTTACATTTCTTTGGTCTTTCACTGTGAAGTAGACATGTACATTACATACTAGCCTGGTTGTTTATTGTACCGCCAGTGTGTATTATTTTTTTCAGTAGAGCTGGTGTGTTTTCTGATGCTCATTTTATGTTTGCTGTATCTGCCACTTATCATAGGAAACAAGTACCATTAGTGCCATTCTCAAAAGCTACAAATCAAAGCATGTGCCTAAATTTCTTATGTTATAATCTCATCTCTATTTCTGAATGATGTCATCAGTATGTTTTAGTGTGTTTGGCATATTTATTCAGTATGATGCACCCTTCACAAAAGTTTTTAGAATAACATGTAAAGTATCTTACTAAATGGAGGAAATATAGGATTGTTTGTTTACTGAAAAAATTCAAATTTCGTTCTCATGTGGACATTCCAAGTCTGAATTTGTATTTGACTTTTGGCCTATTATTTCAAGGTCAGGGTGTCTGTACATGAAAACTTTTTGCCTTATTGTACTTAGGTTGCATTGTAACCTTATTCAATCTTATTACTTCAATGGCAATTTAGAATTATTTTATTGCCATATTAAATATTTAGGAATTTGTATCAGATGCCTTTTTTTATAATAACTATCATATACAAAAATAGATGAGGTACTGTTAACTTCCTTTTTTTTCCAGTAAGTGGTTCAGTGGTTGCTTGCTATATTTTATAAACTTCATGCATCTTTACATTGATGTTTCCTAATAAAAAGTTCATTTTCACGGATGTGACCCAAATGCAGCCAGTGGTATATACCCAGAAGGGCATTGTATTTCTGATCCTCAAATTTTGTATTTACAACAATTTCAGGCAGGGGTGAAACTCAGCTGTGTATGCTTGATGAAAAGGGGTTCAGCCAACTCTTACCTGATGCAGTCCAAGCAAAAAAGTTGAAAAACAACACAGACCTAGATCCACAGAACAGAGCCTGGCTTGATAAAGTGTGGGGTTACCTGTACCAGAATTTCCAAGATTTGCAGAGGTTTGAAGGTTTGCCAATTCTTCCAGTTCATCTTAATGATGGAAGGTTTGTTCAGTTAGATCTGCCTGCAAGATCATCTTCAATTAGCATTCAGCTTGTACAGCACCAAGGTAAAAGCATATCTGAAGATATAGCAAAGCTTCTGGAAACTCTTGGTGTGCCTCTTGCAACTTCAGTACTTGATAAGGCTGGAAACCACCAAACAATATTTGACCATTGGGTAGCACTCCCCTCACCAGATGGTGTATTACAGTCCTTGTCAAGGCAGTACCAATACAAAGGAAATGAAGTTATAACTGTCTTCAACAAACTTGATGCTTCTGTTAGAAAAGTCTTCAGAACATTCATATCACAGTCTGGTGACATAGAAAGGCACAAGAATATAGTGAGAAAGCTTGAAATCTTCCCAAGAATTGAGATTGGTCCTCAGTGTAACTCAGCTGAATTTGATGAAAAAGCAAAGATGGACGAAAAACTGCTGGCACTGGATGATGCCAAGGATGCAGTGAAATTGAAATATCTTCCCCAGGTGTTGTTACCTTGGGCCATTATAGATGTTACTTTGCCTGAGTGTGAACATCTTGTGAAGGTCCTTGGCCAGTGTGTCATCCACACGCAAGTGTCCATATTTTCCACACATATCCTACCAGACACTAGTGGGCTTGATTTGGTCTTAAAGTGCAATTTAAGTTCACAAATAGTCTTACATGATCTTAAACCATGAGTAAGACTATTTCTGGTCTAACAGCCAATTAAGTTGTCTCCCCTTACACATTCTCCTATTGTGAGCAGAGGTGTCCTTTATTGTGAAGGGAGGTATCCCCCATTGTGAGGGGAGGAAACTGCTTGACCACTTAAGTAGGTGTTACATCATTTTTTTATCTTTAAAGCAGATTCAGTCCATTTTAAGACTACTGCTATAATGTTTAAGATCGTGTAAGATCACTTGTGAACTTAAATTGCACTTTAAGACCAAATCCAGCCCACTAGTGAGAGCTCAAAAAGGGTGGTGTTTTTGCAGAAAGATACATGAAAGATATTTCATTGTTCATGCTACAACATAGTGAGCTAATCAATGAAAAGGAAATAGTGGAACAGGCTCAACGTCTCCATTGCATTCCAACCAGAAATGGTTTTGCTCTGCCTAGTAAAACTTGCAACCCACAAAGTAGAATTCTCCAAGAGTTATTTAAAGATCAGGATGTCTTTCCAGTTGATCCTTTTACTGAGGGCACCATCATTCCACAACTGGTAAAAGTTGGCATGAAAAATGAAGATGATGTGACAGCAGATGATATTTTGACAGCTGTCAAAGATGTTGAGACCAGAGCAGCTACCGCAGCAGACCCAACTAGTTGTGAAGTATTGAAAAGAAAGTCCCAGGCCATTGCGTCTTTCCTTGGGAAGCGACCAAGACTGCTTCAACAGTTTCCCTTATCCATTCCTAAAAATGTCTGTAATCTCAAAGGTCTTTTGTTGGACCTACACTGGTTGCCCATGTGTTGTGAGCCACCCAAAAATATACCATATCCAATAAGCCTACCATGGTGGAATGATACTAAGATATTCCAAAAGCCAACCACTCTAAAGAAGATGAATGACGTATCAACGTACTTGATAGGTTCTGTGCAGCCACTTTGGGAAGGAATACCAGGAGACAAAGAAGCTGAAGCCTCAATTGTTGAACATTTCAATATGGATTCTCCACCCGATGTCAGGTCTGTAGTTCAGCAGCTTGCTGTACTTCAGAAGAATTACAACGAAGAAGAAAAGACATTGTTTGAATTGATTGTAAACAAGATTTACCACTTTTTGGAGCAGCATGCAGAAGCTGCCATAGCAGAGGTTGGTAAGCAGGCTCTCAGCCAGTGGATTTGGCATGGCAGTGGGTTTGCTTCTCAAGATCAGGTGCTTTGTTCAGACTCTGTTTTNATGAAGATAGGCTGTAGTGAAGAGGTTAGTGTCAAGTTATCTCTGAAGCTCAGGGTGAGCTTGTTATTCCTTGCATACAAAATTGCCTCAGATCCATTTGAAAATTATGCAACAGCAATCTTTCACAATTTACTGGCCATAAATCTGTTAGCACTTGCCATGACACTTATTTTAATTGTTGTTTGGTGGGTCCCAACCTAAGTATTGGATAATGTGCCATGAATTTAGTACAGAAGAATTTAATTAAAAATAATTGTTTTAGTTGAAGTTCATGAAATGGGAGGTTGTCAGAAACTCCGATAATGTGCAGCTATCAACTGATTCTCCCTTTATCTTAATTACCCCTGTGATGGTGATGACCATGCTGTTTCGTGTCTTTAGCTAACTGTACCAATTGTTATCTTGTATCTTGAGCTTTACACATAGTACTCAGGTAAAGGGCAACATTGCCGACTGTTATATTTTAATGAGCCTGAAAACAGCCTGGTGATTTTTAAGCTGTAAGAAATTCACTATCCTGCAAAATGGTTTACTGGTCAAAAATAATGGGCCCAAAAAAACTCCATACGACTGATTTTAAGATCATTTGGGGTTTATTAGAGCTGCTCATAATTCATGGAACATTACTGTAGGGTTTCTGGATCCTAGTTTAAATATAGGTTTGTTTTATATTAATTTTAGGCAGGGGTGAAACTCAACTGTGTATGCTTGATAAAGAAGGGTTCAGCCAACTCTTACCTGATGCAGTCCAAGCAAAAAAGTTGAAAAACAACACAGACCTACATCCACAGAACAGAGCCTGGCTTGATAAAGTGTGGGGCTACCTGTGCCAGAATTTCCAAGATTTGCAGAGGTTTGAAGAATTGCCAATTCTTCCAGTTCATCTTAATGATGGAAGGTATGTTCAGTTACATCTGCCTGCAAGGTCGTCTTCAATTAGCATTCAGCTTGTACAGCACCAAGGTAAAAGCATACCTCAAGATATAGCAAAGCATCTAGAAACCCTTAATGTGTTTCTTGCAGCTTCAGTACTTGATAAGGCTGGAAACCACCGAGCAATATTTGATCATCGGGTAGCACTCCCCTCACCAGATGGTGTATTACAGTCCTTGTCAAGGCAGTACCAATACAAAGGAAATGAAGTTATAACTGCCTTCAACAAACTTGATGCTTCTGTTAGAAAAGCCTTCAGAAAATTCATATCACAATCTGGTGACATAGGATGCCACAAGGATGTAGTGAGGAAGCTTGAAATCTTCCCAAGAATTGAAATTGGTCCTCAGCGTAACTCAGCTGAATTTGATGAAAAAGCAAAGATGGACAAAAAACTGCTGGCACTAGATGATGCTAAGGATGCAGTGAAATTGAAATATCTTCCCCAAGTGCCATTACCTTGGACCCTTATAGATGTTACTTTGCCTGAATGTGAACATCTTGTGAAGGTCCTGGACCACTTTGTCATCCACACTCAAGTATCCATATTTTCCACACACATCCTACCAGAGCTCGAAAAGGGTGGTGCATTTGCAAAAAGGTTCATGAAAGATATTTCATTGTTCATGCTACAGCATCATGAGCTAATCAATGAAAAGGAAATAGTGGAACAGGTTCAACGTCTCCATTGCATTCCAACCAGAAATGGTTTTGCTCTGCCTAGTAAAACTTGCAACCCACAAAGTAGAATTCTCCAAGAGTTATTTAAAGATCAGGATGTCTTTCCACTTAATCCTTTCACTGAGGGCACCATCATTCCACAACTGGAAAAAGTTGGCATGAAAAATGAAGATGATTTGACAGCAGATGATATTTTGACAGCTGTCAAAGATGTTGATACCAGAGCAGCTACAGCAGCAGACCCAACTAGTTGTGAAGTGTTGAAAAGAAAGTCCCAGGCCATTGCCTCTTTCCTTGGGAAGCGACCAAGACTGCTTCAACAGTTTCCCTTATCCATTCCTAACAATGTCTGTCATCTCAAAGGTCTTTTGTTGGACCTACACTGGTTGCCCATGTGTTGTGAGCCACCCAAAAATATACCATATCCAATAAGCCTACCATGGTGGAACGATACTAAGATATTTCAAAAGCCAACCACTCTAAAGAAGATGAATGACGTATCAACGTACTTGATAGGTTCTGTGCAGCCACTTTGGGAAGGAATACCAGGAGACAAAGAAGCTGAAGCCTCAATTGTTGAACATTTCAATATGGATTCTCCGCCAGATGTCAGGTCTGTAGTTCAGCAGCTTGCTATACTTCAGAAGAATTACAACGAAGAAGAAAAGACATTGTTTGAATTGATTGTAAACAAGATTTACCACTTTTTGGAACAGCATGCAGAAGCTGCCATAGCAGAGGTTGGTAGGCAGGCTCTCAGCCAGTGGATTTGGCATGGCAATGGGTTTGCTTCTCAAGATCAGGTGCTTTGTTCAGACTCTGTTTTAGACCTCAGGCCGTATATGTACACAGTGCCAGATTTCTTTGCAAAAGATCATTTGCCTTTCAAAAGTTTGACTTCTTTTGAGCCGTACCTTGATGTACTCATCCAGATGAAAGAGAAATATGATGGTTCCCAACAACTTCCACTTGGCATCTTGGCCAACAGTGAAAGTTCGGACCTCAAACTCTCAGTAGAAATTCTGAACCAACTTTCAAAATTAGCAAAAGATGGAGGCACCTTCCCTGATGACATACCAATGCCGCTGCGCTCCTCAGGACAACTTAAATTTGGGGTTAGCAGTAAATGTGTCTTTCTTGATGCAGAGCATCTTGGCAAAGATATAAGCCTGGAGTTAGAAAAAGAAAATGTCCATGTTTTGCACAGAGATATTCCAATTGCAACAGCAGATGACTTGGGGGTACCTCCCCTATTGAGACATCTGTTGAAGCCAGAGGATCTGCCTTTTGAGGAGTTTGGTCAGGGCCAGTCATTGTGCAGCATTATCAGCAATATTCTAGATGGCTACCAAGATGGTTTTGCTTTCATAAAGGAGATGATACAGAATGCTGATGATGCTGGAGCTACAGAGGTTCGATTTTTGTTTGATGCACGGGAGAACAAAGATTACCGTAAAAGTCTCATTGATAAGGGGATGGCAGAATGCCAGGGACAGGCACTTTGGGTCTACAATGATACGGTATTTAAGCCTGTTGATTTTGAACGTATTATTAAAGTTGGTGGTGGAATGAAGAAAGAAGATGCAGCAACCATTGGTAGGTTTGGAAAAGGGTTCAATATTGTTTACAACATTACAGACACCCCCAGTTTCATCAGTCAGAATAATTTTGTCATCTTTGACCCAAATGCACATCATTTGGGTAGAGCCATTAAGGACAAAAGCAAGCCAGGTGTGAAAATTGACTTGGATAAGACTCACAATAGAGGGATGATAGCAGATCAACTTGCTCCATTTGAGAACATCTTTCAATGTCGGATGAACAACAGATTCAATGGAACTCTGTTTCGACTTCCACTGAGAACAAACCAGCAGTCACAAAAGACAGAACTTAAACCAGGAAAACCATACACAAAAGAGGATGTGTTAGATCTTTTTAGGTTGACTATAGACAGATCAGAATCACTTTTGCTCTTCATTCAGAATGTGGTCAAGTTCTCTTTGTGGTATCTTTCCGTAAACTCAAAAGATCCAAGTGATGCTGTTGAGATCTTTATTATTGAGAAAGACATACCGAAGAGGTGTATACAACCAGTTGTCAATTATAAGACGACACTTCCAAAGCCAGCAAAAAAGCTAGATAAAGAAAAACAGCAATTGATCCAGGCAACTAGAATATTGCACGCTGCAAGTAATGCTGTACAGAGAAAAGAAGACCACACAGAACTCAAATGCATGTGTCATTTTAGCATTACATGCAGTACTCGGCCCCATGGTGGAGAGCTTCTTCAGATGGTTGCAAAAGATAAAACCAGGGAATACTTTTTAACATCGTATATGAGCACTGGGGAGGCTTTCAGCCTGGCAGTCAAAGGAAAAAATGAAGGCACACTGCCTGTTGCATCAATAGCTTTACCAGTGCAGTCACGTGGAAATAAGCTAAAACCCCTGCCATTGAATCCTACTGAAGGTGTACTCTTCTGTCAGCTCCCATTGCCTATTTCCACAAGCCTTCCAGTGCATGTGAGTGGCACATTTCTTACAACATCCAGTCGAAACCATTTGGTGCAGAGATCAGCAGATGACAGACAGAATGTAATGGCAGAGTGGAATGAAGCATTACTTCGTGAAACTTTGCCTAAAGCCTACATCTTCTTTTTGGAAAAATGCAAAGAATATTGCAACATTGGTGGGGACTTCCTTATCCTTTGGCCAATGGCTGTTAAACAACTCCCAGAAGATTTTCTGCAGTCTTTTCACAGGAAGTTGATGACACTTAATGAGCCCAAACTTCTGACAGATGGTCAGTGTTGGAGAAATTTCCATGAAGTAGTATATCTGGAACCATCATTCCAAGACAAGGTTGGCATAGGGGAGGTTGCCTACAACATATTCAGGTGGTGGGTGAAGACACAGCCCGGAAACAAAATTGCAGTTCATTTACCAATGAAAATAGTTGAACAGTTCAAATCATGTGAAATGAATTTCAACAATGAATACAGCAGGCAGCGATTCTACAAAGAAGTTTTCTTTGCCAACATAGCTGAGATGCAAGCTTTTGCAAAATGGAGAGATACTTTGATGCGAAATGATGTCTTGCCATCTGTAACCAATGATGAGGAAATGGCAAGCTTTGTAAGAACCCAAAAGTGCATTCCTGTCATGCCATCTGGAAATGTGCTTGAAACGCCTGGGAAATTGGTCAGCGAAAGAGGAATGCAAAGTATCATGTTCACTGAAGAAGATGGAGTGTTTCCTTTACAAGAATACAGAGAACAGTCCTATTTTTTACAAAAGTTGGGAATGCGGTGCACAGTGGGTGATATCACATGGGCTGAAGTATCTCAGTGTGCAAAACAAACTCTGTCCATTTCAGACAGAAGCATCAGGGTTAGGCGTATACTGAACATTTTAATGTTTATTGGATTCAAGAGAATGGAGGGAAGGGGTGTTGATGATGTACATGTGGAAAAGTGTGAACTTGAAGAGTTGAAGTCCATACCCTTCTTGCCAGTTTTGCAAACTTTTCCAGAATACCCTTTGCCGTTGTTTGACCACAAAAAAAAGAAAGATATATTGTATGATGCCCCACAGAATATGGGGCTTTTGAAGGTCATTGATCTGGTTGGATCAGCCATGCCCATAGTTGATGAAACACTTTTCACAAGAGGTGCATCTACACTGAGTCATATTCCTCCAGAGACATTCCAGTTTATAGGTTGTGTGACAAACCCTGGAATTGAAACAATTCAAGTGCAGATGCAAGCTGCAATCAGTTATGGGTTGAGGGGAATATTGGCGAACCAATTGTCAAATGTACAGAGGTTAATGCGCCATATTTATTCATACTTGCAAGAACTGTGCAAACAAGAACAAGACATCAGTAGTGCTCTCAAAGGACTCCCTGTTGTGTTGGTAGATGATCACTTTGTCCAACCCAAAGATGTAGTGTTTTCTTTGAAGAACTCTTGTGAACCATATCTGTATGCACTACCAAAGGAATATATTAGCCACTTTGAACAGCTTTTCACTTGTCTAGGGGTCCGTCACCAATTTGATGTTGCTGACTATATTGCTGCTCTGAAAAAGATGTCAGAAGAGACCATCAGTGATGAAGATAAACCTAATCCACTTATTGAAAAAGCAGAGAAAGTTGCCAACATGCTCATTGAACAACTCAAAGAAGAAAAGTCAAAAGACTTAGAGATGTTGGGCGATATAGTTTTACCAGATATCCATGGAATCTTCCGAAGGGCAAATGAGCTGACAGTGTGGAATCCCAATTTACCTCAGCGAAAAGTGCTCTTTTTGCACCGTGATGTTAGGTTGCAAGATTATGAATGTTTAGGAATTAAGCAGCCTCATGAAGGAGTTCTGAGTAAGTACTCGAGCAGTATCCCTTTTGGACAGCAAGTGCAACTAGAAAGGAGTATCACAAGAATCCTTAAAGGTTACAGTCCAGAGGATATGTTTAAAGAGGTTCTACAAAATGCTGATGACGCTGGAGCAACCGAGGTGCACTTTGTGCTTGATCAGCGCACTCACAACTCAGAATATGTGCCTGGAGAAAGCTGGAAACAGATGCAAGGACCGGCACTTTGCATTTTCAACAATGCCTCATTTACTGATTCAGATTTGACAGCAATTGCCACTTTAGGGAGTGACCAGAGTGAAATGGAGAACAAGTCCAGAAACCCCTACAAGACAGGGCAATTTGGGATTGGTTTTAACTCCGTTTACCACATTACTGACACACCATGGATTGTTACCCGTGGGTCTTGTTTTGAAGTGTTGCAGGACCCCCAGGGTAAATATGAGGATATATGTTGTGTGTTTGATCCTCTGCGGAAGTATGTTCCAGGAGCAACAGTAGGCTCCCCAGGACAGCTGTTTAACCTACAGGAACTAGCTGAGGATTACCCAGATGTCAAAAGCTGTTTGTTGGAAGAACAGTTTGACCTACAAGGAAAAACTCTGCTCCGATTACCCTTGAGATATCTCCCACGAGTTGATTCATGCACACACCAAGACTTGCCAGCCTGGAAGTCATTAGATATAAGAAAAGTTAAGGATCTGCTGGAGACATTCAAAGCTCAAATGCCACAGATGCTTCTGTTTCTGAAGCATATCAAACAGATACATGTATCTGAGATTGACAACAGTACAGGCAACATCAAGAAAAAATTTTCATCGACAAGTGAAATTTGTCAAAATTTCCTCAATGAGTACAGGTCATTTCATGAGGGAGTCCAAACAGTAGCAAACCATTTGAAAAGCAGGAAATATGGTGCTTTGGAAATACCCTGTAGTCAGGTCACTTATGAACTAACAATACAGACTTTACTGGATGACCAACCCCTGGTAGATTCAGTGTGGTCAGTTGTACAGCAATTAGGGAGCAGCACAGACAATGCAGGACATGTGAGGCATGACAACAATAGTAGCAACTTGGATGCAGGATATACGGAAGATGACACAACTGGAGATGGTGCTGTGGTTAACCCAAATAGTGTGATCCAAAAATCAGAAGATGATGGGCAGCTCACCACTTCAGATTTAATTGAAAAAAAGTTTGACCTTCTTCCCCTTGGAGCTGTTGCTGCATTGAAAGATACAAAGGAGCATTGGAAAGGTAAAGCTGCATTGAAAGAAGAAATAGACAGGAGGTTTCCAAAAGATACAGAGAGACAAACATATTCCTCTTTTTCTGGGTACAAGACTGAAAGTATCAAGAAACACACTGACTATCTACGGCAGCATGACTACCGTTATGTTGCTGCCTGTTTTTTGCCATTGCCAATAAAAACTGGCCTTAGAGTGATGCTTAATGGCCATTTTGAGCTGGGATATGAGGATCGCAGAACAATTCCGAATGATGATAAGTCCTCAGGTAGATGGAATGTTTTCTTACAAGAAAATGTTTTGGCACCATGCTATGTGAAACTAGTGAAACACATGAGAAACGCATATTTGCCACAATCCAGCATTTCTAAAACTTCATGGTATTCCATAGACACATGCTTGTCTACGTACAGTAGATTATTCCCTGTTGATCTTTCCAAAATACCTCCCTGGAAGCCCTTATTCATCAGTTTTTTCAAAACTGTTGTGGCCCAGCAAGTGCCCCTTTTGCCTGTCCTCAAACGCTGCCCTGGGATGAAAAAAGAGCACACAGACAGACAAGAAAACCTGTTTCAGGTTCTTTGGTTTCCTCCAAGTGGAATCATAAATGGAGAGAGTGCATTCTTTAATACATTACATGAAGTAAGAAAAGATGAAACTCAAACCAGCAGTGCCTGTGTTGACCAGTTGAGGAAGAAGGAAGAATTAAAGATGTCTCAAATTGTCGAAAAAATCCTTTTAGGAGCAGGCTTTAACCTGATGCATATAAAAGATAGCAAATTTAAAAAATGTTTTTCAGATGTGGGCTTCAACATTCCTTGTGTTTCACCACAGAGTGTTTTGGAATTCTTCAAAACATTTGAAGCCTCCCCAGCCTGTACAGTAGGTGGAAAACTTCCTATGCCGCTTGAAAAAACCATCTTTAAAGACACAAGGCAGTTGCTTACCTTTCTCAAATATCTTTACCAATATGACCAATTTCCTCAAAACCTGAATGGTCTTCCTTTCCTTGTGACCAAAGATAGCATTCTAAGACAGTTCACTACTGAGAGCAAGTGTTTTTATACCAAGCATGATCATCTTCTCCCAGAGTTAAAATTTTCTTTTATTCATGAAGACCTAAGAAATTTCTTTGAAGAGAAAAAATTAGAAGTGAAACATTGTAACCAACTTCAGTATTTCACTGTCTCAGACTTTGCAGAGCTGTTGGCACAGCAAAAGGCCACTGGGGGCAGGTATGGATGTCTTTTTCCTGATGATGGGTTTGCCTCTCCCTTAAACAAAGATTTTCCAAATGAAGAATGGGCTGGAGATGCTTGGAGATTTATAAGTGATGAGTGTAAAGAAATGTCACACCACAAGGACAGATACTCAAGGACTTTAGCAAGTTTGTCCCCTCTTAATGGCTGTGCGCTGATTCCAGCTTATGTTGATGGCAGAAAGGTTTTAGTTTGTATTGGCAAGGCATATGCTGTGATGAATTTTGATAGACCTGAGTTCATACATGATGATGATGAACAGAAAATGATGCAGATGTTAAAATCTCTAAATGTGGCCGTTCTCTTGCCAGGTGCATGTGATGTTATAGAAAATATCACAGGGAGTGTGTTCAAGGTCGACACAGTTTTAAAAGTACTTTGTGAGAAATTACAAGAGTCACAACCACCAGAATTGGACAGCTCAACAAAGATGCTCAGGTTCTTCTCCAAACGGGTATCAGCATTGAAGAATATTGGGGGCTGTAAGGCAAAACTTCTTGAGTTACCAGTTTACAGAACAGTGTATGGCAAAATTTTAAAGATAGGAATGAACCGTGTGTACACACTACCTCGTGGCATCCCTTCCATTGACATGGAGGCTTGGAAGACTGCAGAAGGACTTACTTTCTTGCAGCATGAGAATGACTTGGAGCCACTCTATGATTTTCTGAACTTCAAGAAACTTACAGTTGTTGACATGTATTGTGGATTTATATTCAAGCATTTTGAGTATCTCTCCCTAGAAGGCCAAGCACATCATTTGAAATTTTTATACCTATCTTACCTTTCAGACAATTATGCAACTGGTGAAAAGAAGGAAACTAGGGATGCTTTGTTGGAAGATTTGAAAGGATTGCCATTTTTATTTGATAGTAGGGAGCAGTGTCCACAAACTGCTAGTCATTTCTACGATCCCTTCAACAAAATATTTGTAGTCATGCAGTGCAATTTTCCACCAAGTTGTGTCCAGCCATTTGACCCCTGGCAGTGGATTTCTTTCCTCAGAATAATTGGCATGGTGAGTTCTGTAAGCAAGGAGATGTTTGTAGCATATGTGCAAGAGGTGGCCAGGACCAAAAATGCAGACCAGTCCAAGGTGTTAGGGAGGAATTTGATGTCAAACCAACAGGAGTGGTCAGCTGAGGATTTAAAATTCATCTTGCAATCTGTCCGAGATATACCATTTGTATGTGCACAGCCTGCCAGTCAGTGTTATGTTAACCTGATGAAGCAATATGGCAACAGTTTTATCCCCTTGAGATCTTCTGTACCATGTGAACATGAGGCCTTAGTATGGACAAGTGCTAATCTTCTCCCTGATTGGGCTAATCCATGGAAATACAGTGTAAATTGCAAAGGTTTGGATTCTCATGCATTGGCAACAGAACTAGGCATACTGCAGAAACCTACCTTGTCTATGGTTCTGTGTCACATCTCTGCATTGTCTGATAAGTTCCATGCCAGCCAGAAAGGTCCCAGCAGTAGAATGATACCTTCTTGTGAACGTGCTGTTGTTTCAGAAGTGATGAAATTTATCTACATGTATTTGAAGGAGAATGGGTTACTAAATGATGACACCAAAAAGGCTTTAGGAACCAAGTCAGTTATCTTGGTGGGTGATCATAAACGATTTGCCAAGCCGAAGAGGGTAGTGCTGAATATGTATGAAGACAAGGCAGTGCCCCCACATTTGTACAAAGCACCTTCAGAATTTGGAGAATTCTTCAGTCTATTTACCTATCTTGGCTGCACAGAGAGCCCCTCTGTTGGACAGTATGCAGCTGTCTTGGTTGATCTTTATAAGCAGCACAAAGACAAGGATGTCACAAAGAATCCAAATATCCTGCGAAGTGTATACAGAGCCGTCAACGGACTGTTTAAAGCAATGCTTATTTTCCCAGAACAAGTGAATTCATTGCGTTGCCTCTACTTACCAAGCAAGAAAGGTTTGCTGTTATCCAGCCAAAAGCTGGTGTACATCAACTCCCCGAGGCTCACAGACAGAATCCAGACCTTATACCAATATGAAGAATTTCTGGTCGACCTGAATGAATGTGGAGTTCGGACCCACAATTTTGAGGATTTGCTGAATAGTTTACCCCAATCTTTGCAGCCTAAACGTCTTAAAGATGTTGTAGAGGAGCATTTAGTGGAGAATGGCGATACCCAAAACAGCTCAGAACAGCTACTGGCACAGCATATACAGCAAAGGATCTCTTCCACAATTTTTGCAAAGGCCATTGAAAGGATAGCACGTCATCAGTGGTACATGGTTGGGCATATCACTCAGGATTCTGATGAAAAATCCATTACCAATATTCCTATTGTTCTTCACCAGGTAAAGGTCATTGGAATGGATGAAATACAGACATGCCTAAAATATAAAGCAGAGGAATTAGAAGGAAGTCTGAAATCCCAAAGCTGTTTTGCCCAAATGAACACAGCCACTTCCTCATCTACCATAATTTATATCAGAGAGGGACAGGAAAGCTGTGGGGGTAGCACAGATGATAGCGTGTACTTCACCGTAGCAGATGTCATCAATAGACTTCTACCTGATATCTCTCTGAACAGTTCCATTCTGTATGTGGTTCCCATATTGAAATGCAAAGAAGAAGACATTCATAAGGAGTTGGACAGACTTGATGTCCGGGAGCTTCATGACAGTGCTGATCATCACCTGCAGCAGGGCATGTTAAGAACCCTTCCCGTTTTAGGAACCGCAGTTCCAGTAGATGTTGCCAATACATTGGTTCCAGTTGACAGAGAGCTAGAAGTGGACGAATATGTAGCTATTGTCTCTGCTTCCCTTGGAGATGGTGGGCAGGGTGCTGAAAATGGTGGGAAGTTGGAGTCAAGCCAGGATGCTAAAGATGATGGGGAATTGGAGTCATTCTTGGAAGTTGGACCTGAACAGTTGTATGTATATGGGCAGGTGAAATGTGACTTTCCTAGTGATGTAGAGGTGACCATTGGACTGCATACTACTAGAGTGGTTCGACGAGACTGCGTTCTTTTGTTTCTTTAGTAATGTCTTGTTAATGGCCAAATCATAACAGAAAATATGACCAGAACGTGTCTTGGCTTTTTCAACCAATGTCTCTTGATTCATGATAATACATTGTTTCTGTGGCCCCACACCCAGTAATGTTTTAAAGGGGAAAAGTGTCCCTTGTGAAGTTCAGTAATGACCTCTGACCTCCTTAGGAAAGGTCCTCTTTGTACAGATGTTGATTTTGAGGACAACAAATGAACTTGTTTTATGAGTGGGCTTATATTAGAATTGGAATTAGGTGTAAAAGAGCCACAGGGGCAGGTCCAGGATTATTTGAAGGGGGGGTGTCCTTTTTTTTAGGAATGACAGATCGCGAATGCAAAGTCAACCCTTCTTCCCCCTCCCCCCACCCCCCCACCCCACCCTGGCATGGGGTTCAGGGCCTGCTGAAGGGCCCCAAAAAATTTTGTATTTTAGAGGACAATGGTGCCATATGGTATGATTTAGAACTATGATTCAGCTAGGCAAAATTCTAATTTAAAGAGGGGACCATTGGTGTGATTTCTTTCAGAAATTGAAGGGGGTTGGGGGGTCAGGACCCCCTGACACCCTTCTTAAATCTGCCATTGACTTAGTTGTTTATAGGATGATATTACAAGCAGTAAATAGTAGTAATTTAAATTACAGGGTTACCTGCAATTTTCCCATGTAATTTTAGGAACAGTGTGTTTTTCTATAGGAGCTTGGTATATTTACTTGTAAGGGTACTTGATATTTAATCCATTAGGCCACATATGGCTCATTATATTTAGATCCATGTAGTTTATAAAATTTGTATAGATAGGTGTAGTTTTGCTCAAATATAATGCCAAATGCTTATTTGATGACATATGATGAGACATAAGGCTTTTAGGAAAAATGATATAATCGGAGTTAATTATATTCCAGAGGTTCCTGTAATTTTTAACATTTAGGCTATAGACTGTACAGTTGAACCCTTCATTGTGCTTGGATGTATGTATTATAAAATAAAGCATTATATATCTGAAACATATAGTAAGTAATATTAGTTGAATTTAGAAACACAGAAAAAGAAACACAAGAAAAAGTGGGGCCTTTGAAAAATTAATGTTACCCCCCTTAAATCTGCCACTGACCCAGTTGTTTATAGGATTATATCACAAGCAGTGAGTAGTAATAATTTAAATTTCAGGGTTACCTGCAATTTTTCCTTTATAATTTAGGAAAACTTGTGTTTTTCTATAGGAGCTTGGTATATTTACTTGTAAGGGAATTTCATATTTAGTTCATTAGGCCACATATGGCACATTATTTAGATCCATGTAGTTTATTAAATTTGTATACATAGGATGTAGTTTTGCTCAAGTATAATACCAAATGTTTATTTGATGACATATGATAAAACATAAGGCTTTAGGAAAAAATGACAAAATCTGAAATACCTATGTTCCAGAGGTTCCTGTAATTTTTAACATTAGGCTATAGACTGTACAGTTGAACCCTTGATTGTGCTTGGATGTATGTATTATAAAATAAAGCATTATATATCTGAAACATATAGTAAGTAATATTAGTTGTATTTAGAAGTATACTATTATGCACAACACGTACTCAGTAGTATGTTTTAAAATAGTGAAGGTGTATGTTTTACCTGAGGATAGATTTAGAGAAGAAAGATGCCAGTAGTAACTGTACAATGTACATATGTCATACATGTTTACTAAACACTGCATTATTCCAGATGATAACTCTTTGATAAAGAGTCTACTGTCTCATGAATGGATCTTTTTACTTGTAGGTAAAATACCATAATTGATCAATAAATTTAACAATAGGATGATCTAATTTTCTTATAAATTATTGTTTATTCTTAGAAGTGTGGATTTTACCTTTTAAAGTTAGTTGGGTTTGTGTTTAGGCATAAATATGTAAGAAACACAAGAAAAAGTGGGGCCTTTGAAAAATTAATGTTACCCCCCTTAAATCTGCCACTGACCCAGTTGTTTATAGGATTATATCACAAGCAGTGAGTAGTAATAATTTAAATTTCAGGGTTACCTGCAATTTTTCCTTTATAATTTAGGAAAACTTGTGTTTTTCTATAGGAGCTTGGTATATTTACTTGTAAGGGAATTTGATATTTAGTTCATTAGGCCACATATGGCACATTATATTTAGATCCATGTAGTTTATTAAATTTGTATACATAGGATGTAGTTTTGCTCAAGTATAATACCAATTTGATGACATATGATAAAACATAAGGCTTTAGGAAAAAATGACAAAATCTGAATTACCTATGTTCCAGAGGTTCCTGTAATTTTTAACATTAGGCTATAGACTGTACAGTTGAACCCTTCATTGTGCTTGGATGTATGTATTACAAAATAAAGCATTATATATCTGAAACATATAGTAAGTAATATTAGTTGTATTTAGAAGTATACTATTATGCACAACATGTACTCAGTAGTATGTTTTAAAATAGTGAAGGTGTATGTTTTACCTGAGGATAGACTTAGAGAAGAAAGATGCCAGTAGTAACTGTACATATGTCATACATGTTTACTAAACACTGCATTATTCCAGATGATAACTCTTTGATAAAGGGTCTACTGTCTCATGAATGGATCTTTTGAATTGTATGTAAAATACCAAAATTGATCAATAATTTAAAAGAGTAGGGTGATCTGATTTTTTTATAAATTATTGTATATTCTTAAAAGTGTGGATTTTACCTTTTAAAGTTAGTTGGCTTTGTGTTTAGGAATAAACATGTAAGAAACACAAGAAAAAGTGGGGCCTTTGAAAAATTAATGTTACCCCCCTTAAATCTGCCACTGACCCAGTTGTTTATAGGATTATATCACAAGCAGTGAGTAGTAATAATTTAAATTTCAGGGTTACCTGCAATTTTTCCTTTATAATTTAGGAAAACTTGTGTTTTTCTATAGGAGCTTGGTATATTTACTTGTAAGGGAATTTGATATTTAGTTCATTAGGCCACATATGGCTCATTATATTTAGATCCATGTAGTTTATAAAATTTGTATAGTTAGGTGTAGTTTTGCTCAAGTATAATACCAAATGTTTATTTGATGACATATGATAAAACATAAGGCTTTAGGAAAAAATGACAAAATCTGAATTACCTATGTTCCAGAGGTTCCTGTAATTTTTAACATTTAGGCTATAGACTGTACAGTTGAACCCTTGATTGTGCTTGGATGTATGTATTATAAAATAAAGCATTATATATCTGAAACATATAGTAAGTAATATTAGTTGTATTTAGAAGTATACTATTATGCACAACACGTACTCAGTAGTATGTTTTAAAATAGTGAAGGTGTATGTTTTACCTGAGGATAGATTTAGAGAAGAAAGATGCCAGTGTTAACTGTACATATGTCATATGTCATACATGTATACTAAACACTGGGTTATTCCAGATGATAACTCTTTGATAAAGGGTCTACTGTCTAATGAATGGATCTTTTTACTTGTAGGTAAAATACCATCAATAATTTTAACAATAGTATCAATAATTTTAACAATAGGATGATCTAATTTTCTTATCAATTATTGTTTATAATTCTTAAAAACGTGGATTTTACCTTAAAGTTAGTTGGCTTTGTGTTTAGGAATAAATATGTAAAAAACAAGAAAAAGTGCGGCCTTTGAAAAATTAAGGTTATCCCCCTTAAATCTGCCACTGACCCAGTTGTTTATAGGATGATATCACAAGCAGTGAGATGTAATAATTTAAATTTCAGGGTTACCTGCAATTTTTCCTTTATAATTTTAGGAACACTGTTTTTTTTTTTTTTTTTTTTTTTTTTTTTTTTTTTTTTTTTTTTTTTAGAAGAGCTTGGTATATTTACTTTTAAGGGAATTTGATATTTAGTTCATTAGGCCACATATGGCTCATTATTTAGATCCATGTAGTTTATAAAATTTGTATACATAGGATGTAGTTTTGCTCAAGTATAATACCAAATGCTTATTTGATGACATATGATAAAACATAAGGCTTTAGGAAAAAATGACAAAATGTGAATTACTTATGTTCCAGAGGTTCCTGTAATTTTTAACATTTAGGCTATAGACTGTACAGTACAGTTGAGCCCTTGATTGAGCTTAATTGAATGTATTATAAAATGGATTTTGCCTTTTAAAGTTAGTTGACATTGTGTTTAGGAATAAACAAGTGAAAAAAAAGAAAAAGTGAAACAGAAATAGTGTTATTTTCCATAAAAAGATCAAGGTTGTTGAAGTATTAAATTTTTCCATGGAATGGTTTTTGTTAAGTGGATATGTTGATAAGTCAGGGGCTGCTGAAAATTGGCCTTTTAGCAAAATAGCAAGAGGTATGTGGTCACTTTCTGTAAACATGCCATATAGGCATACAGACCTAGTGTAATGTCAGGAAGGTGTTATGCTACTCATTTATAAGTGATGGTGTTATGTTGTTTTTTATTATTGTTTTCCATCTCAGTTCCTTTAAATATCATTTTAAGCATATAATATGAAATATTTTATATTTAAATGCTTAACAGGAACAAATAATGTAAATGTATGTCAGATTTGACAGATGTTTATATTACACACACACACACACACACACACACACACACACACACCATTCTAATTCTTCAAACTATTTTAATGTCACAGTATTATTTTCTATAAATAGATCAAGGTTGGTTAAGTATTAATTTTTTTCTGTGAATTGTTTTTTGTTAAGTGGATAGGTTGATGAGGTTCAGGAACTGTTGTAAATTGGCAATTTGGCATTATAGCATGTGGTCTCCTCTTGTGTGTTACATATTGTTGTTGATTCTTTTTATTATAATTTTATTTATTTTATTACCACCACCAAGGATATTATGTTTTAATTCTGTTTGTCCGCTGGCAACATTATGGAAAAACTCTTTGATGGATTTTGATTAAATTTAAAGAAATAGGTAAGAAGGGAACAAGTAACTAGATTTTAGTGGTGATCCATAAATTAGTAAAAAATTAATTAGTCAATCAATCACGTCTGTTAGCAACATTATGCAAAAGGTTAAAGAGAGGTTTTGATAAAATTTTAAGGATAGTTCAGAAATAGGCTAGATAAGAGTGGATATAACAATAAATAGATTAAAACTATACATAATTATCAGCGCTGAATTAATTGATCAACTTATTAGTTATTGGTAAATAATTATTAATAATAATGAGAATTGAGTTGCCTTAGAGGAAGTCTACACTCTTTAGTGTTATTTAATATATTAAATATATTTATTTATTTATTATTATTATTATTTTATTTTATTTATTTATTTATTTATTTATTTATTTTTTATTTTATTTTATTTTTTTTTTGTGGATTGACT